TCTTTTTTTCTCTCTTTCTCTTTGTTTCTTTGTTTCTTTCTCTCTTTTTTTCCCCCTGAAACTGTTGATTTATCATGTGATGTTCTGGATTTGAGACATCAAGGGAGTTACATGCTATTTCTCATGATGTATAATGTCACTAAAGAAACCAGAGAAAACTTGTGGAAATAAGCAGAAATGGGAGAGAAAAAGAGAGAACAATGATTGCTACCTCTCTTTATATTCAGCCCAAGTCATTCTCACACATGTGCTTGCTCATCACAGATTCCGAAATTTGTACGTGCAGCACAGTGGGGTCTTCCTTTCCTCTCTCCTCTCTCTCTTCTGCTGCTCCCCATAAGCTCCTATTTCACTTCTGAAAAACTGCTCACCTGTTTCCTTTAAAAACCCTAAGCATTGTTCCATTGTACTGGGTAATATCTTGTTTACTTTCTACATAATTTTCTTTTACTTTATTATATGTGTGCTATTTTTTAAAAACAACTTCCAGAAGTTTTGGCAGGGTTTTGAGGCTTGAGATTTTTAGCTGAATGTGTTTGTGCTTCACAGCAAACAATTGTCCCCTGGGAAAAAAATCATGCTAGTAGAATTAGGATTATGCTGTGTTTGAAGTTATTTCTGCCATTCAGTTGGGCCTTTGAAAACTACATTTTTCCCTCAGAAATAATAATGCTGGAAATTTGGTCAAACATCTTTCTTTGTATGGTTGACTCAAACAGATCAAGGTATGATTTACCAATCGGTTACTGTAGACTGATTTCAGGCCTTCATTTTAGGTCCAGTTTCCCTAACTCACTAGCCTTACATTTGTTGAAACTGTCACTATAGTAACAAATCATTTGATTTCTTAGAAAAAGTGCGTGGTCCTCACTGTCATTAACTCGATTTGAGCTACACGAATTTGTGAGGATTCAGTGTATTGAGGAATTAATGTCAGGTGCAAAATCTATTGTAAGAAAATACGATAAACAATCCCATTTGTAAACGGGATTATATAGAGAATGTTTCATCTACTTAAGAGAACAAAAATGTCTGCAGGCTCTAATATATTAATTATCTCTATACAGATTCTGCAACTATTGTAAACAAATACATTGAAAGGGTCACTGTAAACTTATCTTTAATCAACAAAGCCTTTCCTTTAGCTGAAAATGATCTCTCCTTTTATCTTTCAACTTCTTTATGTATTTATCCAACACAAATTTATTCAGGGTTGAGGTTTCAAAGAAAAACGAGACACATTCTTACCGTTTTGTTTATTATAGTCATCCCAGTAGATGTGAATTGGTACTTCATATATAGTTTTAAACTCAATATATGGAACATTACCTTATATTCTGTAGATTGTGTATATATGATAACATATACTGTGTACAAATGTGTAACTGTACAATGCATGTATGTATACACACATATGCATTATATATATGTATATATGTGTGTGTATATATATATATATATATATATATATATATATATATTTAACTTGATCCTAATGCAAATAAGAACTAATTCTTATTACACAGACATTATATCCCAATGTGTACATAGAACAGAAATTTGTGATATTACTCATAGCCAGCACAAAAAATGCCGTGGATATACAGTGATAAATTTTATGCATTCATAAAAAGGAATGATATGAAAAAGAATAAAGTAAAAGAGATCAGGACCGGCAGTTGGTGTAATGGCTATGTCACTGGATTCTCATGTAGTAGACTGCAGTTCAAGTCCCAGACCCGGTGGTTTACACTCATGCTGGGTGCGTGTGCGTCCATGCCCAAGATCCCGAGAGGAGAATGGAAGAGAAAGAACTGTGGCATGGCCATCTCCCCTGGGGGGTGACTTCTCGCTTTCTGTCTCTCTGGTGAGTGCACATGCCCTATAACACAATCCTCTCCACCTCTCCAAAATAATAATAATAATAATAATAATAATAAATAAAAAGGGATGAAAATCACAATGATAATGCTGAAAGAAAGGAGGTACATACAAAAGCTATATTCATATAATGTAGTCCAATGTATAGTTAAAAAATGATAAGTATGCATCATTTTAGCAATCAGGTCATTTTTAAGCCTTGGGTAGTCAATGACTCCAAAGTACTAGTGTTTTTAAATGGTACTTGTTTCAGGTGCAATTTATCCATCTGTGTTCACAAACATTCAGTGAGCTGTACACTTAAAATTTTTCTACTTTTCTTCATAGAGTTTGTTTATTGTAATTTCTTCTTTTTTTTTTTAGAGGTTTTCACTATAGGGCGCGTGTGCTCGCCCGACAGACAGAGAGAGACATTAGAAACAGAAAGCTAGAAATCCCTCCCCAGGGGGGATGGTCACATTGCAATCCCTTCTCCTCCATTCTCCTCTCTGGATCTTGGGCACGCACGCACATGTGCCCTGCATGAGTTTAAGCCACCAGGTCCAGGACTCAAACCGTGATCAACTACATGGGAGTACAGAGACATAGACATTATGCCATCTGCTGGTTCCTATTTATTGTAATTTCTTCTTTTTTTTTTTAGAGGTTTTCACTATAGGGCGCGTGTGCTCGCCAGACAGACAGAGAGAGACATTAGAAACAGAAAGCTAGAAATCACTCCCCAGGGGGGATGGTCACATTGCAATCCCTTCTCCTCCATTCTCCTCTCGGGATCTTGGGCACGCACGCACACGTGCCCGGTGTGAGTTCTAAGCCACCGGGTCCGGGACACGAACCATGTTCGACTACGTGGGAATCCAGTGACATAGCCATTACGCTAACTGCTGGTTCCCATGTAATTTCTTGTTTACATATAATCATTGTACATCTTTGTGAGGTACAGCATGGATTTTTATACCTTGTATACAATGCACAATAATCAAATCATATATATACATATATATTTTTTTTCACGTCTGTTAATTATTTTCTCCCAATTCTCCCACCCCTCTACTCTGTGCAGCTTCTAGAATCTACACTTATTCTCTCTACTTTTATGCTATTGAGTCCTTTAGTTTCCACTCTGGAGTGAGGACATTTGGTAAGTATTAATATACAGTATTTGTTTTACATACTCATTTTATTTCACTTAGCATCACATTTTTTAGTTTTGTCCATTTTGTGTTAAAGGGTAGGAGATCATTGTTCTTGATGGCCAGGTAGTATTCCACTGTGTATATGTACCTCATTTTTAAAAATCTATTACTTTAAATCTGTTCATCGAGCACTCAAATTGATTGCATGTCTTAGTTATGGTGAATAATGCTGCAGTAAACAGATGTACAAATGTCTGACACAGGATTTTTCTTTCCTTTGGGAATATAATCAACAGTGGAATTACTGTGTCTAATGGTAATTGTACTTAGATTTTTAAGAAATTTCCACACTGTTTTCCTCAGTGGTTGTACTAACTTACATTTTCACCAACAATGTCTTTTCTTACTAACCTCCACCTCCACACTCCACAGCACTGGATTTTTTGTGTGTGTGTTTTATTTTGTGCTTGTTTTTTTTTTTTGATTGTAGTCATTCTTTCTCGGCTAGATGATATTTTATTGTGGTTTTGATTTGTATTTCTCCTATGATAAGAGATGTCAAGTATTTTTTAATATATTTTAAAGTTATTTGTATGTCTTCTTTTGAGAGATGTCTATTCAGATTCACTGCCAATATTTAAGCTAGATTACTAGCTTTTTGTGGGTGAGCTGTTTAAATTCCTTATACATTGTGATACTCAACCCTTTACCTAAAGTATAGTGTGCAAATAATTTATCCTCTTCTGTAAGTTGTCTCTTCATTCTCTATATTATTTCTTTTGTTGTGTAGAAAGTCTTTACCTGATATATTATTCTTATCTACTTCTTGATGTTGTTTCTCATGCATTAGGGGTCTTATTTAAGAAATCTTTGTCTACTTCAGTATCTTGAAGTAACTTCCCTTTGATTTTTTGAGTTCTATAGTTTAGTGTTTATGTTAAGTCTTCAATACATTTTTATTTAATTTTTATAAATGGTAAAACATAGAGTTCTAATTTTATTCTTTCCAGGTGTATCTAGTTTTACCAGTACCAATGATCAAAAAAGACTCTTTTCTACAGTGTATTATTTTGAGACATTTGTAAAAATCAGGTGACTTTACTTATTTATATGTTGTTAGGTATATTTGTAAATTCTCTATTCTGTTCCTTTGGTGTATGTGTCTTTTTGTCCTAGTACCATGCTGTTTGTGTTATTATGGCTTTGTAATATATTTTTAACTCAGGTAACAAGAAGTTTCAACTTTATTCATTTTGCACAGTATTATTTCATTGATTGGGGTCTTTTGTTATTCAAAAATAGTTTTGTAATTTTTTTTCTATTCCTACAAATAATCTCACAGTTATTTTTCTAGAAGTTCATCAAATTTTTGTAGATTAGCTTGGGTAGTGTTGGCATTTTAATTAAATCGATTCTTCCAATCCATGAACAAGGACTATCTTTTCATTTTTGTGTTTGTTTTTGTTTTGTATCTTTATCAATTTCTTTCTTTAGTTTATGTAGTTTTCATTGTAGAGATCTTAGTTCGATTTACTCCTAGATATTTTTTTTCCTGTGGTTATTGTAAATAGAATTACTTTCTTCATTTCTGCCTCAGATCATTTATTGTTGGTGCACAAAAATGCCATAGATTTTTGTATGTGGATTTCGTATCTTACAAATTTACTGAATTTATTTATCATATTTAGGAGTGCTTTGGTGGATCCTTTAGTTTGTTTTTTTTTTTTTTTTTGAATTGACATAATCATGTCACTTGCAAATAGGAATTGTTAAACTTTCTTTCCAAATTAAATAGCTTTGATTTCCTTCTCTTGTCTGATTGCACTGACTAAGACGTCTAGTTTTATGTTGAATAGAAAAAAAGAAAGTGAACATTCTTATCTTGTTCCAGCTTTCAATGGAAAAGATTTCAACTTTTCCTCACTGAGTATAATGTTAGCTGTGGGTTTGTAATATATGGCCTTTATTATTATTAAGAAATGCAAAAATATGGAGCACTTTATAAATTAATATGTCATCATTGCTCATGGGTCCTGTTAATCTTCTCTGCATCATTGCAATGTTTGTATATGTGCTGTCGAAGTCAGCACCATGTTTTGTAGTTAGTAAAATAAGAAAAGAGAATAAAACCACAGTAGTTTTCTATTTTATAAAAGTTTTCATTAGTGTTTTGGACTTGAACTATATGAATTCAAATCTTGCCCAGCCCGGTAATAACCATGGGATATGGAGTATCACATGTCAAATATCAGTGTTTCAATTGTGGTAACTGTAAGACTGAATAGTGCTTAGTTCCATGAAGGCTGTTTTAATGGTTACAAGATACAATATATGTGTTATATAATAAATATAAAAGAATTTCAATAAGTTCATAAGAAAATGGAATTAAAGTAGTTTATCTTGGTACAAAAACAGTTTGAAATCCACACATTTTTTTTCCATGATAGGCATGTATCATAAAATTTTAGAGACCTCATTTATTTAGAAAATTAGGCTTTTCTTTCTGTATATCCACATATTTTTTTTGAGGGTTTTTTTTTTTTTTTTTGCTATAGGGCGCATGCGCTTGCCAGACAGAGAGAGACATAGAGACAAAAAGCGAGAAATCACCCCCCGGGGGGATGGCCATGCCGCAATCCCTTCTACTCCATTCTCCCCTCGTGATCTTGGGCATGCACACACATGCGCCTGGGGTGAGTTCTAAGCCACCGGGTCCAGGATGCGAACCGTGGTCGACTACGAGGGAATCCAGCGACATAGCCATTACGCTAACTGCTGGTTCCCTGTATATCCACATATTTGTGGTAATGCAAAGCTGAGACTGCTAACATTCAGCAGTTAACATTGATGAACGTGTAATATAATCTTGCAACCATTTAGGATATAAAACAATTTCTCTAACAATGAAAGAAAGAGAAAGAAAGAGGAAAGAAAGAAAGGAAGGAAAAAAGAAGGAAGGAAGAGAGAAGGAAGGAAGGAAAGAAAGAAAGAAGAAAGAAAGAAAGAAAGAAAGAAAGAAAGAAAGAAAGAAAGAAAGAAAGAAAGAAAGAAAGAAAGAAAGAAAGAAAGAAAAGAAAGAAAGAAAGAAAGAAAGAAAGAAAGAAAGGAAGGAAGAAAGAAAGAAAGAAAGAAAGAAGAAAGAAAAAAAAGGAAGGAAGGAAGGAAGGAAGGAAGAGAAACAAAGGAATTGAAGAAAAGAAAGGAGGAAAGAAAGAAAGAAAAAAATACACGTGCAATGTAAAAACATACATGACAGCAAAATAACTCAGTGAAATGATTATCTTTGGAGAATGGATGGCCAGAGAAGGATTCCTTTCAGAGGTGATGTATGATATAAAGTTTACAGGATTAATTGGCATGGTCAGAGGTGTGGGCAAGGGATAGAGAAGACATTCCAGAGAGAGAGGATGACACAAATTAGAGCAATATCTGTCTATTGAATTAATTATAATGTCCCATTCAATTATTCAATCAATATTTCTCATAACCATTACGAGTAAGGAACGTGTGATGTTGGAATTCAGACATACTCCTGCATTCAGAGTTACAGTCTGATTTTATCACGCAGTACCCCAGTGATAGGTGCACATCAGTAATGGCCAACCTGTAGTGACTAGCTCTCTGCCTCACTAATGCTGGGCATGGTTTAGCAAGGAGGAAACAGATACACTGCAAGCAATCAGTATGTGATTGTCTCCCACATTAACTAACATAAAGTTATTAGATGAATCTCTGAAAAATCAAAAACGTACTGAACTATCAAAAGAAGAAAACAATGTTGCAGTACTTGAAATTCCCAAAAGGTTTATTTTCCTCTGAAAGCATGAAGATGGATGGGTTTTCTGATTTTTATCCCAGCACCTGTTCATTCTATTCACCAAGCTGCTTAATCATGTGCTCCTGCCAAAATAATGACAGGCCATATTTCCTAATATGTTTTAATAGTTAAATTACAAAATAGTAGTCATGATTTATTTGATGTAGCAACTACAATTTGGGACATTCCCAAATGTTCTCCTGGGTTATTTTAGGCAACAGTTGTCCCCTGGAAAGGGGATGTATTTGTGCATAAATGCAGTCACATTTTCATTGCTACACTACAATTTAGGAAGGAGAAAAGTGAAAAATAGAAGAATAGTTTTCGTTTCAGCATATGCATGCATATGCTATGTGTAACAGCACATTTCTCTTTAGTTGTTTTCTTTTTTGATGAACTAGTTTATATTCTCCTGGCAAGGACCTAATAACTCAATATTACTCTTAAATTTTTGGAGGCAGATCAATGTGGCCTAACAGGAATTAAAGCACATGTTCAGGATCTGGTCCTGTAGTCTTCTGGTTAAGGAATCCCAGATCCCAAGTGGCTCAAAAAACATGTCAGGCACACATGTGTGCATGCCCACAATCAAGACTGGAGAGAGAAATAGAAAAGAAGAGATTGCAAGGTGAACATGTTCCGTTGTGAGTGATTTTTTTTTTCATGTCTTTCTTTCTGTCTCTCTGTCTCTTTTTGGGGAGTACATATATCTTCTAGCAATAAAAAAAACAGTTTAGTCGTATACATCTCACTATCTGGTAGAGCTTATTTGGGATGTGGGGCTGTTCTCACAGGACATGAGCGGGCCTGTGTAAGTATGTCAGGATGGCCTTATGGAAAAGACACCTGATGTTCCAGCCATATCTTGATGATGGATGGCAAGTACTTCCCCTTTCTAAGAATAGTATCCTGATGGTATATAAAGAGTAGGAAATAAACAGACACAAAAGCAAAAAAGACATTCAGCCTCCCTTGTGAGATCAGATTAATCAAATCCCTTCTAGTTGTCTTACAATGGTTAAAACAGGGACCAGCAGGTGGTGCAGTGATTAAGGCACTGGACACCCCCACATGACTGACCATGGTTCAATTCCCAGGCCTGGAGGCTTGCTTTCTCACATTTCCACTCCCTTTCTCTCATTCTCTCTCTCTTTCTGTTTCTCTCTCTGGTCAAATTAAAATAAATTAATAAATTAATAAAATAAAATAATTATTTTAAAAAATAGTTTTAAAAATTTCATTTACAATCAATAAACTCTGTCAGCCTGACTCCATGACACGACACATTTTCAGGATCTGGTCCTTTAGTCTTGTGGTTAAGGAATCCCAGATCCCAAGTGCTCAAAAAGCATGTCAGGCACACATGTGTGCATGCCCACAATCAGGACTGGAGAGAGAAATAGAAAAGAAGAGATTGCAAGGTGAACATGTTCCGTTGTGAGTGATTTTTCTTTTTTCATGTCTTTCTTTCTGTCTGTCTGTCTCTTTTTGGGGAGTACACATGTCTTCTAGCAATTAAAAAAAAAAAATGATTCAAACTGTTCTCTCTCCTATGTCAATGAGAGACTACTCTTTACTTCAAATATTCCCTGGAATGATTATTTATGATAAAACTTAAATAAGTCTTGAAAGAGGTTAATTGTTAGATTCCAAAACAATTAACTAATTTATATTCAATCTCCTTTGCTCAAGAATATCATTAAATCTCAGTTTTGCTCTATAACCACATAATTTTCTTCTCACAAACCTATTTCTAATTGTCCCTTTTCATTTTCTTTCACAAATAAAAAGAGGCATTTCCTATTGCTATTATTATATTTCTCCTCAAACAGAGAATCTTTAGAAACAGGCTCTCCTAAGTTTACAAATGAATATGGGTTCATTAAGCAACTTGTGAGTTTTCTGAATGTAATATTAAGAGACCATGCCATGATAAGGTAGGTAAGGAATCCATTTGCCCTGCCAGAAGCTTCATTAATTCTTATAAAAGATGACATGAGTTCATAATATAGATAGACATTCTAAAGTTCTACTCAGAGACACATATAAATATTGGATCAAATTGTTATGCTCAGGACCAGAAATTAGCATAATGATTATGTCACTGGACTCTCA